TTCTCTTCATTAGTAATGAACTGAATGAGAGATCTCAGTTTTTATTTCTTATAAGATTAATCTTTAATCATCAGATCATCCTCTTAGTTAAGTTACTATTTGGACTTTCTGATGTTTAAGATTTTTCAGTTTGTGAAAGGAATAAATTTATCTGAATGTTCTATGAAGTGAAGCACAGATGGGATAAGGTTTGAACATTCAAGATAATTTGAGTTACTGGTGATGTATTAGAATATTAAGTTATGGCAGAGATGTCATTGTAAGTCATTGTAAGCCTAGAAGGTAGTCAAGTCATCTTTGATTTTTCAGCCCCTAGGTCGAGCGTTGTTCAATGCTTTCTCAAGATAAGATTACTTGCTTTTAGTAAATAATGTTACAACTGATTTGTCACATAATTTCTTGTAACATCACCTTCTATACATTCTGTCTTTTTGACTGCAAGTGGGTCTTCTGTCTTCGTGTTTCTGTGCTAAGAGAAGAATAGTAGATATCGAGTATTTAATAAGAATACCTCAACAGAATACCTTACCAGAATACCTATGAGGTCTTCTGTTCTTGTGTCAACAGAGAACCACCTCTATGAAGAGGTCAGTAGAGGTTTTCATTTACGACCATATACAGAAGGTTTTCTGGTGATCCAACAGAAGGTCTCAACTCTGATGTTTATCAGATGATCAGTCTTGATAACTATTAGAGTTGAGGTTTTTCTGTTATGATAATAAGGTCTTTGATGATTCTCTGATTATGTCTCTGATTTTCTATAAGGGTTTGAGTTGACTCTTTTCGTACCTTTTTCTTTTGTTTCTTTTCACTTTGTTTTATGATACGTTTCTTCTCTTGTTAGTACTCTCTATTTTTCTTGAGTACTTTATCTCTTTTGAGCACATAACAGTAAACAGTAGTAGAACAAATACAAGTGCTAGTCTATAACAAGGATATTAAATAAAAAGGGGTGACATCATCAAAACAATACTTGTTCATCAAAATCTAGGGGACCTAACAGAATATTATTAGGATACTTGTTTCCTAGTTTGTTTTAAACTCTTACATTATAAATATGCAGTCCGGGACTCCTATTGGAGCACCTTTTCCCAAATTCTTACAAAGCCACACTTGGCAAACTTAGGCATACAAGCCCTCAAATAATTATTCAAAAATAATATCCATGAGCATTATTCATATTGTTTTCAAAACAGAAACGGAAGAAGCACGAACCAAGTCTTCTTCCTTTGATCTCCCTGAAGCAACGGGCGGTGGTAGCAAACTTCAAGTTCTACCTGAAACTATGAGGTGACCTCCCCCGTGAAGGGGGTCAGTACTTTGAAGTATTTGAAAAGTATAATGACAACTACAATGTATATAATCGATGTTTCAATTTCTAAGACCCTCAATTTAGGGTGATATTATATTATAGGTCAAAACCCTTGGTTACCCTGTTCAAAAATATACTTACTTTATATATAAAGTCAAGTAGTCGGCCCGTGGGCCCATATTCATTTAAAACGCCCATCCATATCCCACATGACTACTAGTCACAATTTTCATATATTTATAATAAATTGCTACGCCGTTCTAGGGCTTACCCCAACGCGTTACTTAATTATTTCGGAACCCCGTTCACGTATTATAATTTCACCGTGCTAGAGTCTCGCTCGTAGTCACGTTTCATAGTGCTAGAGCCTGGCTCTTAGTCACTCTACATTGTGCTAGAGCCTCGCTCATAGTCACTCTACATCGTGCTAGAGTCTCGCTCATAGTCACCGCTACATCGTGCTAGAGCCTGACTCTTAGTCACGTTACTAAGTCTTTAAGCAATTTCTATGCTTAGACTCCCTTCACTTTGGGTAGCCTTTAAGGTCTACCCCTAACATATCTTAGAGCTCACACAAACCGACTTTAAAGTATCTCTTAAGACTACATAAGGCATCACTATTCATAATCTTATCTCTTAGGATTAATTACCTCATTTTTCATATGAATCTCACGACTAGTATTTTAATACTACTCGGATAACTTTAGAACAACCAAGTTCTTAATTCATAGTTCAATGATTCATTTCAAATGATTTTCCAATCAAATTATAATTTAATCTCAATATCAAAAATATCACTTTTATCCATTCATGAATTTTTTACATGAAATAAAAGTATATCTTATCACAATATTTGATAGTTAATTCCTACTATCAGGCCATCATTTTCATAACACATAATCATACACAATTTCTCCTAAATTTGTATATCATGTTTCACATACTCATAAACAATAGTATTTTCATTTAGGCATTATTAATCATTAATAATCCATGAAAATCACATTTAATTACCATAGGTAATCATATGAAATTAACTCACTAATTATAATTAATATAGTCAGTCATTCTCACCTCAAATGAGCTTTAAGAAGTTCTACCCTTCTCGGTTGAACTCCGGCAAAACTCCGGCAAAACTCCAGCAACAACTAGGAACACCTTAGTCAAGCTCCTAACAAGGTTTTATCATCACAAAACCCATATTAACACAAATGACCTCTAAAAGGTTCTTTTCCGGCGAACCGGTCACTTTGGCTCCTAAGTCCGTTCTTGGACTTAGAACTACCTTCCAACCCCTTATTCTACATTTATCAACATGTAGAATAATCCTAGGGTCCTTCATAACATCCTCAAATAATAATATATTCAAGAAAAAGAGAATAAAAGGTAAATGAAGCAATTGCCTAGTTTTTCTCAAGTTTTGTACACTTTTTGAAACTTAGACTTTTTCCTTGAGCTTCCTTCTTGTTGGAGCTTCCTTCAACAATGGTGAGAGAGGGCTGGAGGGTTTCTTACACTTGATTGGGGTGTGTTGGCCGAAAATGATGAGGTGAGGGGGTGGAGTTGACTCTTTTGTCTCAATAGGCAATAAGTGTGGGTTGAGAGGCCCACCTTTGTCCTTTTAGATGCCCCTCAAGTCAACCCAACCTCTACCCACCTTCCTCCTCTCAAATTGGCTACCCATCTCTCATTTTGTGCATCTAAATTCGTGGGTTGGCCCCCACCCATGGGAGGTCACCCCTTTTTGCCTAGAAGTGTACTATCGGCTCCGAAAATTGTATTTCTCGGATTGTTTTAATTATATTTTATTTTATCGAGTCAAATAAAATATATCACACGTTCCTATCCATTATAAGCTTTTAGAATGGATGTACATTCCCCAACTTAAATTTAGAAGTCTCCGAAAATTCATTTCGGACTGTTATCCGATAAATTACCAATACTGGTAATTGGACTTTGTTTGACCAGCCATTCAACTCTATGCCTTTTCTATGGCCCAAATAAAATATCCACCACCATATACATATTATCTAGACCAAGATGAATATAATATGAGGTTCCGGAATTATCAGGCGGTTCCCGTTCCCGATGTGGGCCCCACGTGCAATTTACTATTCACGCAAAAGAAATAATAAAAATTCACAACTTTGCAAGTTCATAAATCATCCTTCAAAGTTTATTACATGATTTACTAAAAGTAAATATGTCTGAGGACGATGTTACATAGTACTTGGTACATATACAAATCTCAAACCAAACAGCTCAATTAGGTAGCTCAACAATTTCATCGAGTTGTCCGTGCGCGTAATACTTCATGATTGGGCTAATTAGTTTCATAACGATTTTTTCACAAATAGATCAAAAAGTTAAAAAAAAATATCACTTTTATCATTCTTCAATTTCTTTTTCAAAAATAGACTTGCTAATACTCTTTTCATAAAGACGATACCGGAGTAGAAAGCATCCGCCAACTCACTTTAATTGATACTCTATACTATTCTTCACAAGTGCAAGGCCTCTATTCTCTTATGTATGAGTTAATACGAAGCACAAACTTCATGAATAACTCCATTTTGTTTTTAAATAGAAAAATGTAACAATTCATAGTAAATAATAAAAGATCAGTACTTTGTAACCATAGGGCCTTTTATATATATATATATATATATATATATATATATATATATTTATTTATTTATTTATTTATTTATTTATTTGCAAGAGAAAAGCTTAATTACTATCAATCAAATCATAGTCCAGAATACATGAAAGAAAAGACGGAGGATAAGAAAACCAAGTATGCTGCTCAGACAAGGAACACGCCGCTCTTGCTAATGCAACAAAACCATAGGGCCTTATATATTAAGCCTAACAACAATCAATCAGATCTAATGAGCTCAACCACACTATTTATGTAAAATAAATGGACAAATAGACTCTCTTTTTTCATTATTTACATTGAAATCAATGTTTCACTTCTTATATTACTAGTAAACTCACCCGTGCGATGCACGGTCAGAGAATTTTTCTCTCAAATTTATTTGTGCTCACTAATTAAAATTACACTATCAATTGATGACATCATCTGTCTCCATGAAATACTGATATAGATCAAAGTAATGAACGAAACACACTTATAATATTATAGTTAAAAAGAGAGCACTAACCATTACTTAAAAGATAAAAAACATCTAACAAATACGTAGAAACCATAACATTGTAAATATGCATTTCATGTAAACCTAAACATTGTTGAACACCTTAACAAATTAATTGTGACAAAGATTTTTTTCATTTCCAAAGTAAAGGTATGTGTGTGTGTGTGTGTATTAATTGAAGGTAAATTTATATATGTAGTACGAATTGCGTGACCTTATATTTATGACTAAGTAAAGACTAAGTAATATGGTGACCTTACATTTATACAAATTGCATATTTAGACGAAATGTCTTGGTAAACAGGCAAATCAGGGGTGCAAATATGTGAAAATATGTTATGTCATTCTTAAACTATATTTAAAAAAAAAAACTTCAAGACAACATAATACTACATTGATTAGCCTCACAATCTCACATTAAACATACTAACAATGATTTTGTCTTTCATGTTAAACAAGTTACAAGAATAAACAATATGCAACACTCACAAGTCACAACTTATGCTATACATAATGTCTTTAATTAAGAGCTTATAACACCAATCTGGACTTAACATATAGTAAAAATCTAAATCAAATAAAGTAATTGTGGAAAAATAGATGAAGGTTAAGCACAATCTACATGTTGCCTTCGATATAAACCTAGGTTTAAGGTAAGTTTTACATTACTTCATCTCAATGATGAATTACAATAATTTAAAATCAAATATAATTTCAGAAAAATGGAAAAAATACCTAGATGTTTTGGGGTTTTTGAGTTTACGCCGGTGAGATTTTTTATATGGCTTCATGCCTTCATAGCTAACCAGAATACCAGATGCATTCGAGCTTAACTTTACAGATCGCCCTTTGCTTGGGAGTTTCTCGCTACTATGAGAAGCTTATTGTTCTCCCAGTTATGAGTTCAATTGTTTCCTCTGGAAATCAAACACCAGAGGATGTGGTTGGGAGGATTTCGCTGGGAGCCTCAGCGGCTGATTTACTTCTATTCATCACTTTTGTGTACCTATTTGCCCCTACAGTAGAGCACCAAAAAAAGAAAATATGGGAGTAGAGGTTGCGTAACAGAGGGTTGCGTAAGTCAGAGAGGTGAGAAAAAGAACAAATGGTAAAGTGCGCAGCTCGCTCGTCAGCAAACAGGATTTCATGCACATTGTGAGAGTAGCCCGGAGGGCTGGTGTGGACTCATGACAGCAGAACACTACATAGACAATGTGCAGTGGTGAAGAGGTATTCGGGAGCTCCAAGCAATGAAGGAAGCAGGCTGAGCTTCAGTAAATATAGGATTGCCCATTCATTGATATTAGATATCCATTCATCAAATTTCTTGCCCATCTAATGTGCGGTTCTATCGTCTGTTCATCTGATTCTTATTTTTTATTGTTTATTCTTATTTTAGTTAGATTAGATCAGATCAGAAAAATTCAAATTAGATGAGAAACATTCGGATCAAATTATAATGATTTAGATTAAATCAGAAAAATTCAAATCAGATCAGAAAGCAGATCAAATAAGGAAGATTCGGATCATATTAGAATAATTTAGATCATAACAAAAACATTCAAATCAGATCAGAAAATTTCAAAACTGATTTTCTCTTTTATTATTATTAATATAGTTGTTGTTGATATTAGTATCAATATTTTTATTATTATTAATGTTGTTGTTATTGTTATTATTTATTAATATTGTTATATTATTATTGTTATTATTAGCATTAGTATTGGTATGCTACTATTATTATACAAATGGTCTTGGAATTAGTCACATGGCGGTTTACGATCAGGCGGGCTGATCATTTCTCTCTGCAAGTTATCTATGAAACTTATGTACGCATGCATGTACTCTCACACAATTTCATTTCTTTTTCTTATAAGAACGAAATAAATCCACCAGAAGAGCAACGTCTCCTCACCTGACCAAGGGAGTGTGAGGCTACAGCTCACACGACTAACTTTTCTTCACCTAGACTAGGAAGAGCAATATCTGCTCTCATCACGCCACAATAGCTGCTACGAACCTGAGCCCCGGCTTGAGAAAACAGTTCCACAACTGCGGGCAGCTTTCCGTAGTACCTCTTCAAAGCATCAACTAGAGGAAGAGGGGAAGATGGAACTAGAACATGCCACACGTAGATCGAGGGAACAAGGTCATCTATGGTTGCCTCTTGCCAAGCATGTTGCCCGTCCCTCATTTGATGCTTGAAGGCTTGACACTGCCTCACCCTATGACCCTTCGGTCCCACTTGGACTTCGGGACAATATCCGCATGTTTGAACAGCGTACTTCTGCATTAGTTGTATGGATCCCGTTCGTGTGTCTTCCCACACTTCCATTCCTCTCTCTGCACATCCTGCATAGAAATTTTGAATTATTAGCTTAAAACTGGTTTATGTGTTAAAACTCACTTCAGACTAACCATTGTCTGCAGATTTCAAGGGCTATTTGGTAGGGCAGGTATTCGGCTTATCTGCAAAATCCTTTACCAAACATTAAAAGCTCATCTGGTTAGACTTAAAATGGATGTTACGGAATTTACTGAAACTACTGATCTTACTGTTGAAATGACTCATTTGGTAGAACCTGCTGATTTAAAAAAAACTGAAAATATATAGTTAAATGAACTAAAGAAAATAATTTCTAAAAGTAAAGCTAGAAGTACCCATGACTCTGATATCATGGATCAATTCATGTTAGCCGACCCCAAATCGCTTGGAAATAAGGCTTGGATGTTGTTGTTGCTGTAATGCTAAAAGTACCCATTTGACAAATTTAGCAATTTCACCCACAAAAAAATTTGTGCACTAATTTATCTTGTTGGCACAACGACTGCTAATAAAAAGAATTGTCAAATGTATTCTAACTTATTTTGCACTGAAATCAATGAAAACAACAATATGACCTCCAATTTATGATACTATTTTATTTAACTTATTTAAAGATAAAGATATATGTTGAATATATATAACAAATATATCAGCATATATACTCAATTTAATTAGACCTAAACAACCCATCTCTGATAAACAACAGTAGACTGCTGAAGAAATCATATAACGCCTAGGAGCGAGGGGGAGCAATTTGAGGATCTTAAGAAATTGAAAAGAAATAGTATTTGAAGAATACAATACCTCTGATATCATCGGGAGGCAAACCCAAAGTTTTCTCATTTGATGTTATTAATCTCTTAGTGGTTCCCCAAAAACCAGTTGTCTGGATGTGGTTTCAAGACAGAGCATCATCCTTGGGGAACCTCTTCTCAAAATCTATCATTTTCCCGGCCACTTGGTAAACCGGGAACTTCCGTCTTCTGGTTGGGTAGTCAGGCACGTCTACCCCAGCCTGAATGCACAACTCCATAATCGCGGGAATCCGATCCACCTCAAGCCTCTCATTATGTGAAATGGCTCTCCCCAACCGATCATACATATGGAAAGATTCTACAAGAGGCAATAAGTGTTTGACATCCCCTCTCTCCCAAATATGTTCCTTGCTCTTCTCACTGCCGCTAACAGAACATGTTTTAATCTTATGGGGTGTATGACCAACGTGAACTTCCCCACACAACCTACAGACAATAAAGTTCTAGGAATCATCATATATATGCTTCAGAAGGATCAATAGTGACACTATTCTGCCAATCAATTTGTTCCCAAAGAAGTATCGTTTTGGAGAAGAATAACAGAATGTTCTAAACCGTCATTTAGAAAAATCTGATGCAGCATTAAGCGTGTTTTTTCAAATTTACCCTGCTGATTAAAAAGAGAACAAAAATTACACATTTAATTTCAATATATACTTCGTACATTGTAGCAATATTAGAAAATATTTTCTAATATATATCTTTCAAGCCGGTCCCAAGCAAAGATAAAGGAGGAGCGTGTTGTGGTAGGTGCATGACGGCCAACAGTATATCTTAGTCACATTGTATGACATGAATTGCAATATGAATATTTACTCCAATTTCTATGTTGATTGAGGTTAGCCGACCCCAAACTCTTTTGGAACTAAGGTTTGGATGTTGTTGATCCTTCAAACTATTTTTCAAAAATAGGACGAGACAGACTAATGTTTTTTTAGAAATTGCCCTAAATAGGAGTAAAAACGCTTTGAAATTCAAAAATTGGAGTATCATGTTTTTTATTCCTTGAATAGGAGTAATCTTCCAAGTTTGGAAAAAAATGTCATGTTTAAAAGCCTGCTAATGCCAAACTTGACAGAAATTTACTCCTATTTAGGGAATAAAAAACATGATAATCCTATTTTGGAATTTCAAAACCTTTTTACTCCTATTTAGGGAATTTACTCATGTTTTTTCCCTTGGAAGTTACACTTCAAAGTAGGAACGTCCTTCCCTATCAGTGCTCATGTAAGAATGGTTTAAAGGATATAAAATGATAATCAGGTGCACATAAGACTCCCCGCAAGACAAGGGTCCAGGAAAGGATTCTACCATATGGGTGTATAGAGAGCAAGTCTTCCCTTGCCATTTCGGCAATAGGCTGTTCTCACTACTTGAACTCGTAACCTCTCTGTCACACAACAAGTCAACAACACCTTAACCGATGTGCCAAAGGCTCCCCCATCAAGGAAGGGACGTTTGGTTTTGGCAATGTCATGTTACCTTGGTAACGTGAAATATCGAAAAAGGTAATATGAGCTCATGTTGCTGATAAAGTTCAAAACCGAGTTGGGACACTGCATCTAAGCCAAAACACACTAAAAGTCCAAGAGATTGAATCCCAACAATTAGCAACTCTAACTTTAGGCTATATAAACACTTGTGTCTCACTCCTATGTCTTACCCCTATAATATTTTTATGTCAAAATCTTCCCAAGATAATAAATGCATTAGTAATAACTCATTTAACTGTCACATTTCGTAAGCCAAACAGCATAAGGTGACAGGAATCCAAAGCATGAAAAACTTTCTCATCTTTCAAACAAAAAGTTCATGGCCTGCACATGCTGCCTCTAATAACAGAATAAGAATTATTCACAGTGGAATACAATACGATTTACCAACTTCAGAAAGAAAAATACACAAAGAACCAGTGTTACCTGCATGAATAGATAGGAATATGTTCTGCAACTGTAGAAACACAAGCTAGTAACTCAGCTTGGGCAGCTAAAACATGATGCGCTACTGGTATTAACCCCTTCACTAACAGCCCATCCTCGGGAGGCTTCAGTGTAACTTCTCGAACCTCTTGTCGCTTTTGCTTCTCCAGCCTCTCCCTGCGCTTAAGCTCGTTAATGCTCGTCACCAATGGCTTCCTTTCTGTTCTCCTTAGTTTTCTTGGGACATCTGTGATGGTCGAATAAGATGCATCAATTAGTTGTAGCGCCTTACACTTGGTGAATGGTGATGAAATTCGTTTCATAGTTTCCCCTTATTAATCCCCTGATGTTGAATACCATCCAGATTTGCATGTGGAAGGTTGTAGTATATGGTAAGCTTGGAAGTTTCATTAAAGCATTTTAACGAACAGTTTGGGTTTGTCTGCTGATAAGGCCCAACATCTTTGGATTCTTATCTCGAGATGGAACGACCATACAAAGGTCAATTCGAACTGTGGGTCAGGATAGATGCTTGCAAAGCTGTTTTCTTTTTTGGGGCTGCTGCTACATAGATTGAATGAAAAAGGTTTACCGAATCTCTATTCACGGGTTTCTATCTTTTTCTTTGCCTTTTGAATCCTTATAGATAAATCAAGAATTCAATTCAAACTCTTTTTCCCTTAGTTCTGACTATTTTTAATTCCATGCATGAACCAACCGATGATCTGATTGCAAGCATCTTTATTTTTGTAACAACAAAAATAAAGACAAAAATAAGCATAATAGGAAAAAGAGTTTTCATTAAAGTCAATTACAAAAATACCACAATTTTACAATTGTTCTCTACGGGTTTTCATCGATTAATATTGTTTGATAATGACATCATTGTCAATTTACCTCATTACCTTTATTAAAAATAAGACTAGTTATTACACTTGTCGAGGTTTAGTCCCGCAGATCCGAAAGCCCAACACGAACTTTGGATATATTAGGAAATGGATCAGAACCGAGTGTATAAAGAAATACTTCGTATAAAAGATGAGTAATTGATTGCTCTCAAGCTCACTTTATATTAAATAACTTGCTTGATTACACGGAAACCTCCCGATCGATACGTCGGAGTAATGATTAATACAAGAACAAGAGTGATAATGCTATTTTAGAGTTTGAGTATGAAAATGCTAACCCTTTACAATGAAACTAATCCTTCTATTTATACTAATGGGGGGTATGGGGTACTTCAGGTTGATTGGTTGTTTTATCTAGCCACTTGGAAATTCATACTCCCACTAGTTGTCGTCATACTTTAGCAATAAATGCTTCCTGCCACTTGTTGGCTACCTAATTTTCCTGCGACGAACCAAACCAATATCACCCCTACATTTTTCTACGTAAGATAATATATAAAAATCACTTTTAATTGTTATTTAAGTAGAAGATTCAGTATTTCCAATTCGCCTCCCTCTTGAACCGCCGCCATGAAGGGATCGTGTGGTTAGGATTTGGAAAAAACGCTTCAACTTTGGATCGGGCCGCGTTGGAAAGAAAAATAGAGCAACAAATCGCATGCAGCCCCCTCCCCTAGACCCCCTGGAGGAAATATATATATATATATATATATATATATATATATATATATATATATATATAGAGAGAGAGAGAGAGAGAGAGAGAGAGAGAGAAGTTCTGGTCCGGAATTCCGGACTAGAGGCGCCGTCCGAACGGCGGCGTTTGGCCGCCTTCCCGATGGAATATTTTGATGAAATTTTTATGTCATGTTCTTCATCAAGTCTAGTTTATCCACATAAACATTCAGCTAAAAAATCAATCCGGAAGGTCGTCAAATGATTTTTGGAAGTTAACTGCATTTTATATGTATTTTTTAGCGCAGTTAATTTAAAACAATCATTTGACAATCTTCCGGATTGAGTTTTTAGCTGATTTTTTTGTAGATAAACTAGACTTGATGAAGACCATTCCATAAAAATTTCATCAAAAAATTCTACAGGGAAGGCGGTTCCTGGCGGAATTTTTTGATGAAAATTTTTGAGCATGTTCCTCATCAATCTAGTTTATTCATACCAAATTTCAGCTCAAAATTCGATCGGGAAGGCATTCAAATAATTCATTGAAGTTTAGTGCGCCAAATTATACATAGAAAAATGCAGTTAACTTCAACGAATTATTTGACTGCCTTCCCGATCGAATTTTGAGCTAAAATTTGGTATGGATAAACTAAACTTGATAAGGAACATTCTCAAAAAAATTCCACCGAAAACCGCCCCAATCGGCGGTGTTCGGACGGCGTTCGGACCGGAAGGTGCTGGACGTGAGAATTTTCCTATATATATATATATATATATATATATATATATATATATATATATATATTCAACAACCTCACTTCATTTATTCGAAAGGTTGCAAATGATAATTTTATAGAAGAGTTATTCTTGGGCAAGGATTAGGACGGGTCAGCCCGACCCGGGACCCTACCTGGCCTGGTATTGTTCAGGCTCGACCCGGCTTGGGCGGTACCGGGACCGGGACTGGGGGCCCGAACTGGGTAAAGAGGCAGCAGGATACGGGTCTTCAAAAAGGCTGACCGGCCCAGTCAGTACGGAACCGATCCGGGCCTAACGGCTATACTTAAAAAAATGTTTGAAAGGCATTACACCCTAGTGACTTTTTTCAAACAGCTCTAGAGCCATTAGGGGGGCTGGAGGGGTTGGGAGTGGGGGTGGGGTGATGGGTGAGGTGGGGGTTAAAAAAATCTATAAATACTCTTATTGTTTAAACATTTTCCTACACATATTCTCCAATTCTTCCTACTCTCTAATACTCCCTAATCATCTTCATATTCATCTTCTCCAATTCTCTCTACACCTATTAATATATATCATATCTATTTAAATTAGTTATACAATTATATATATTATATCTACTTATATTTATTATCTACTTATAAATACATATATTATATAATTTATATCTACTTAATATCTACTTTTTTTTATTAAGGGATTTTTATTGATAAAAATAAAAGATTACATACTCTAATGAAGGAAGGAAACAAATGAAAATGAGAGTATTCTCCCATAGCTAGAGAAGAAAAGCCAATATAAATGCTAAGTAATCATCTAAGAAACAAGCTATCCAAGTCAGAGATCCATCTAGTTCCCAGATATTAGCTTCCGTTTAGAAGCGATGCATTCACTCCTCCTAATGATCCTATGTTTGAACTTAGGAGGATTCAAGTTTCAAGAAGGATCAAGTAGTCGTTCCAATAGATCTTGGTCAGATAAAGGTCCTCGAACAGGTATATATTCATCACTAGAAGTAGAAAGTGATAACGTGACAACAGCCCCCTCAATCTCCGGATGATGATTGTCAAACGCTATAACTTGGAGGAGATTTTCTTCAATATTGTCTAAATCATTAACAAGAGATGCATTCTCTATAAACTCGGTTACATGACTAATGCTCGAAGAAGGTGAAGATTCAAATACCTCAATCAAATTCAAATCTTCCTTAAATAATAAAGATGATATTGATGGACACTCAATAGTTTCAATATTTCCGCAATTGAGTCCAATGAGGTCATAACATATATCTAACTCCCTAAAATAATCAATTTGAGTTTCTGCATTTACCCTCGATATTACGGTTGTTTGAGTGCCTAGAATCTTGATAACCCTTTGTAGCTCCACATTAAACCGTTGAAAACCTTCTCTTTTCCAACCTTCGGGAATAATAATAGTTGACCTATCTTGACCTTCTAACCTTGTCAAACGTAGGAAACCCCCAAACTGATTTTTCTCATAAGAGATTTGAAGTTTAAGAGAACCCTCATATCTTGCAAGAACCCAAGAAGCGCCTGATTGAATACGATGAAATGAATCCAAAAGCCAATTTACTCCGTCTTTATCAAGTGAGATGGTTCATGACCTGATGCCTTTTATTTGAGTAAGATGTAAGAATGAAGAGACAATAAATAAACAAAAAACTTTACTTTCGATGCTAAGATATGAAGGAGGATTCGCTAATCCTGTCATTCCCCTCGTAAATGAACACCCTCGTGTAGGTTCTCCTGTACCTTTGTTAGAAAAATGATATTAAAAAATGCGAGTTTAACCAAATAAAAATCCCGAGTTTATACAAATCACCAGACAAACCACCAAATGCAAGAACAGAAAAAAATAATAATAATAAGAATAAGTGAAAAAAAAAGGAATAAAGAAAAGATAAGAAGAACTTATCGCAGGATCGCCCGTTAAAACGGACTGGCCTTGAAGAAAGATAGCCCCCGTATCCCGATAGCTATTCGGACGGGTCTGGCTAACTCGCTCCCAGGATAATCCTACTCCGTTTCAGACTTGTAGCTACCTTGACTGAAACCTTCGACCGTTGCCCGGTTTGCCTTTGAAAGTAAAAAAAAAGGATGAAAGAACTATGGATTATATGCTCTCGACACAAAGGAATTAAATTCCTTGAAGACAAGAAGAGTGCAGACAGAAAGTTGTCTTCGCACTAAGAGAAAAAAAAAAATCGCAGGTGATTTTTCTTTGTGGGTTAGGCAAGATCAAAATGGATAGAGCATGTAGTGGGTTATCTCTTCTGCTTGTTTTCGGAAATCAGGCACCCTTATATATACATATGTTCTAGTATAAATAAAAGAAAGGGTTTTTGGATGTACATGGATAGGCAGGTCGGAGAAGCAGTTATGATACCAATTAGTATAGCCATAACTTTTCAGTTTCATCAATAACTCTCTCAACTTGACCTGCTGTCTTCTTAATAATTTTGAAATTCAAAATTTCAAATTATTAATTACATTAAATTACATACGGATGTAATTAAAATGAAATGTCCATCCATCCAAATTCTAAGAATATAATTTTGTCCTGAAATCAAATAGTCTCCAAAGCCGACTCATTTGCTTAATCATTTTGAATCCTTTATATGATCTTTGAACAATGTTCCTTATCATATTATAAGAGATAATTTATTTCTAAAACGGACAAAATATTCTTCATATTAATACGTCACATTTACAACCATTACAACTATGGATTCTTACTGAAACAAGTCCATATATTATGGTTGTACTTTGATGTAAAAATAATATTCCCAATTCTTATTTTATACATGTACACTTTAGGACTCATAAGTGAGACCCCAAGAAAATAATATTTCGTCATATTTCCAACAATCCCCCACAAATCCATAGTTGTAGACTCAACTCTAAGACATAGTGTGCTTTCAAATATGGTACCTTCCGGTTTGAACCAAATTCTATGCTCTTACCCCTAACCCCCACAGGAACTGAGTGAACAGAGTTCTTGAACTCGAACCTTGATTGTGTTGGTGTGGGATAAAAGCAACACACTAACGGCAATGGCAACGATCTATAGGGGTGGCGCTTTTACGGCCGTGCGTCCTGATCCTGTCTCAAGAATGTCATCGAGAATTAACCCTTATTCTCTTATTGCGGCCACACAATAACATTCTCATAGTTGGGCATCTCCAAGAGTGAATTGCTAACACTCTGCAATTAAGCTCGATCCCATTTAGAGTTTTAAACTCTTACTAACTTAGCAATTTCAGCATCTCTAAGGCTTATCAAGGAATAGAACTCATTAAATTATTTTAATGAGATGCACAATTCACTCTACAATTTGTTTATACCACATTGAACCTACTTTA